TCCGTAGTTTCTGGCAAACTGAAGCCTACGTAGTACGATTGCTGGCTGTTCTCAACCACTGCTCTTTTGCGTTTTTAAGCTAAGCATTGGCTTGCTCAAATAGAACCGAGTGGATTTAATAGACTGGTCTTAACAGGGTCGTATTGAGGTCCATTTCAAGATTCTGAATTCAGGCTAGCCCGCCGTTCAGATACTGCAAATTGAAGCTCATAACCGGTTTGGTTTCGTCGGCGTCGGGGCGGTGGGCAAGAAGATGGTTATCAACTAGAGATTCATCCATGGCACCAACGAAGAGGTTGACAAGGACCTTTGCTGGAACCTCAGCGGCAAGATTTCCAAGTTTGAGACGACGAAAGAACTTGGAAAGAAATCCGTGAGTGTTCCAACGTAGTGCCAGACTAGTGATGGTAGTCGGAGAGAAGTTAGTGTTGGACTAAGCAGTGATCAATATCTACAAGGTCGCTTCCGAGGAACCCACCTGGGCATGACTGGACTGAAGGGTCATCTTCAAGTACCTTGAAGGAGACGAAGAGTGGGAGCTGTAGGCCAGTGATCTTGTTTTTATACCATGGCCACTTGAATGGTCAGCCGTAAACAGATTTGAGGAGATTTGTTTGGAAGTTTAGGACTCTACATCATATCATAGGCCAGGCTTGTGCAGAATATATCTTGAGATAACTTCTGATCCTTCTTAGTGATAGTAGTTACTTGCGCTAATCGATGGCCCTTTTTCTAAGGCAGTACCAGGGTACCACAAGCTCCTGAGTCGAGCTCCGTATCGTTCGAAGAACATGTTTCAAGTCCGTGTGAGAACAAGCCCGACTATACATAAATCACAGACCCTCTGAATACTATAAATACCTCACCTCTGAAAGCTCATTTCAAGTTCGTCTCGAGAAGATCAAGCAAGGCTCTGTCTTCATCCAAGTGCAATTGCTACCGAGACCCTTTTCTGAATCAATAAGCGTTCTTGAACAGGCCAGCGTAAGTCGTTTCTTGTTCGACCTTGTAGCTGCTCCTTGACGGCCAGGATCGCTGAGACGCTCGACAACTTTCCACTTGTCGTCAACATCGGCGGATTCCAGCACTGTCGAGACCGGTGGTCTCGGCCATCATTTGCCTTGCCAAACCTGAGGCTCTAACATCGCGTCCTCGCTCAGGTCAATAAACCTTATTGCCTCGGGCCCCTGGGTGAATAACGGGAACGTGACGAGCCCAGCGGCGCAAGCAACCACGCAGACTCCGGTAATCTCTTCGATTTGAGCCATGCCCCTTACAAAAATTTTGATAGCATTCATGGACGCCTGGTAGAATGGTGTGATGATGCTTGACTTCTGTGCACCAGCTCTGCTTATATGGTGTATGACGCCAAACTGATTAGCGTTGGGTATCTTTTAGGTTCTGGGCCGTATCATCTTGATGGGCGTGTCAATGATGCGATAATGGATATGAGTGTCATCAACGGCTCAGAAGCTGCTATGAGACTATCAACTCTCCACCAAAACAACTTGGAGCAGCATCTGGCGGCCAAGGAGACTTAAAGGCTCGCAGGCACCCGCTTCTAGACAGACAAGATGAGCAGTTCCCCCAAGGATATTGGGATATATATGAAACTGGCTTTAGGCTCACTCCAGTTAGAGACATTGGTCTTCACAAAGTAGCAGCCTCGTTCTCGATCTTCTGGCTCGATCTTCTGGCTCAGTTCACATCAAGGTCTGGGCTGCAACTATAATGAAGAACAGATTGAGTAGGATTTCAATACCTGAGTTACCGGATGATAAGTTGAAAGATCATAATATATCTATACGGCTTTCTGTCCGTGGCAAGGGGATAGCCGTGACAGTGAGTATCAATTCTTCGCTGTTCTTGTTGGGACTCTGCAGTGCTGATCGCCTATGAGTCATTAACCTGACATTCTTAAAGCTCTGCATCAACTCGTCTGCAATAATGGGATTTTCGGCATCAAGCTGTATACCACCGCTGAAGAATGACTCCGTTCACTGACGTGAGTTCTGATCGCAACGCCTCTCGTGGGCAGACTGCCTCGCTTCGGTCATCTTTCTTGCCCCGTTGACAAGCAACTTGACGTTGTCATTGATCTCCCGCTTAACTTGATCGCGAATGCCATTGTGACGTTTCTCGTGCGCTCGGAGCTTATCAATTTGCCGATGGGAAAAGATGTCGGGCATACCGCTGCCGCCTGAAGTTGGGTACCTGAATTCGGCGCCAGGGGTTATCCACGTTGCGGATCGTATCACGCGGACGAGCTGTTTGATCTCTGGCTGGATGGCCGCCACGATCTGGATCCTTGTAGAGTCGTTGCCTATGATCGCAACGGTTTTGCCCTTGAGACGAAGCTCCTCGGGCCAATTGGCGCCGAGCACTAGAGTATCTGTGAAGGAATGCAGACCGAGAATGGTTGGTCACTTCAGTTGCTGAGGATGCCGCCGGTATTGAGGAAGAAGCCGCCCCAGCCGGCGAAGACAAGCTGACTGTTGGCGTCCAGGACCCCAACCTTGCTGTGCTTGGGTTAATACATCCAGCCTTGAAAGAGGTACCTTGACCAGTGCTCGTTGGTAGCTTCGAGTGCAGTGTATTGCTTTAATTAGGAGGATTCTGATTCCCACGGTGAGCAAACAGATCCGGCTCTGTACGAAGCCTTTCTAGTGTAACCTGATGAGTTCGCAGTCGAGTGGCTGGACGGTTCACTTTGGTAGTATCTCACAAATGAAGGGTCAAGCCTCGGGACCATGTCAACGTCTAGGGGGTGTACAGCTTGGACGACTCATGCACAAAGCCGCTTTGGTGATGGGCGAACAGGGACAGTTTATTGCCACGACATTTTCGGTAGCTTTCTCAGTTGTCAAGTTATTCAAGGGACTATCAAGGCGAGTATGACATATGGTGACTCTTATATTCCGATGGTGAAGGAATGAATCATGAATGTACTCCAGAAAAAACGATTCCCAAGCATCAAATACTAAGTAAATGAGCTTTCACTTTGAGCCCTCGGTATATAAGTAGCCGTTGCCATTGTAGATAGGTAAAAACTAGTTATTAAGGAAGATAACGTGGCACGCGGCATGGACAGATGGAATGGCTGGGCGGGGAAAACCATCTACTGAAACTCGCTACCTGTGTTTGGAAAAATGAAGATAGATGGCCGTACGGCTCAAATCATCCTGAGGAGACAAAACTGTCCCTGCCATCAATGATGAGCTACTTTTCTGCTGTTAAATTGGACCTTACATCGGCGACTATGCCCGAGGCTGGACGCCTCCGTCATGTACCGCCATCCTCACCATGATCGACCCAGTCCATTCTCAATGATTGGCCACGCTAAAGCATGGTAGAATTAGAATGCCAACGGCGCGCACAGAGTTCCGTCCCAATACATTTCCACATGAAGATGGCTGATGGTCAGTGTAGCAGCTGATTCTCTTCCCCTTGGTTGGCAGTTGATCAATCTCAACGATTCGCCTTGCAAACAAAGCTCACTGCAAAGCCTACAAATTTCGATTCGAGGGGGCAAGAGATCCAACTGTAAGAATGAGACCGCCGGAGAGGATCGCAACGAGGAAGCTGGCGCTCAGCTACGCGCTGAAGACAATCCGTTGGCCAAATTTGGTCTCTGACCCTGTGCCGGGATGTCCACTCACGGAATACCTTAGACCTTGCCAATCGCCTTGGGCTGTTTCCATTCAACTCTCAAATATGGCCACCCCCTTTGGGTCTATGCTCATTTGCCGCACCCTTGTGGCGGCGCTATCTGTATGTTGCAAAATGCCTGGAACGCAGCCGACTGTTATCAGTGCCACCCTACTCATCATTGCATAGCAACGTACTCAAATGCTTCAGGAATCTAGTTGTGGTGTCTCGATCTTCTCCTCAAGGCCCGGGCTTCAACTTTAGTAAAGAACATAATGGCACCACGCCATGACCTGACGTAGCCATTTTGACCTTCTTCTGCTCTCAGTAGAAGAGCTATATCTAGCTGCATCTGTTCTGATGTTTCCTTTCCTCGGTGAACCCAACATCTCTAGTTTCCAGGCGTAAAGACTTGTGTAATTCTTGAACCGTAATGGCCTTCACAGCCGGTTTCTGCTCCCAACGCTTCAAAGACTGTCTGTGGGGACTTGCGTGTACGCTCGGATGGAACAAGAGTTTCTAGGAATCCGAAGTTTCCTGGTATTCAGCCCATACCCATGCACCGCACAGCCAGGCCTTCCTATCACGGCCGAGAGACAGTGAGATTAGTGCAACATGGTCTGTACAAAGTATAGGCTGACTTGCTAGGCTTGAAGTTGTAAAATGACGTAAATGTGGACAATAAAGTGATGACATTGTACTTCGGCAATCATGAGTGACCGGAAGGATGACTGAGAATCAAGATGAGAATATACAAAGAAATAGTTTGTATCCAGGAGATAGAAACCGAGGCGCTCGAACGTCTTGGGATATCTGTGACAGATTTTGGACTTCAAGCTTCTATCCAGGGGGTAATCAAGCTCTTCTCGCTTTGCAATTATTACGGGGATAATAGGACGATAATCTTGACAGCCGACAACGTCAGCGTCAGTACCAGCTTCAGCCACCCATCAGATAAGAAACAGTCAGATAACCACTGGTAGTAGGCACCTCAACGGAGTAGAGTAACAGTGCTTGAAGCTTGGACATGGGAGCACATCAGCATTCACAGGAAAGCGGAGGGACTCAAAAAGAGTTCCCAATATATTTGTTATTTTAAAAAGATAAGTACTGTCAACACCTGGAAGGCATACATTCGTCTGCTTGTGCTCCGAATGGTGGGCCATGGCAGAGAGTTCGAAGAAGACACAAAAAGAGGTGCATGGGAATTAGATACAAACCGCAGTTCTACCAAAGAAATTATGGATAACTACCGCAGGACCACCGCAGACATTACTTCGTATCCTCCGCTGACTCAACCATAACTTAGCCCTAGGCCTATCGGCCGTCAAGGGACGCAAGTTTAAATCACTTCACTTCTCGTCGGTCTGTTTCTGTCTGCTCGGCCTCAGAGGCCGGAAGTTGTAGTAACGCCACTCCTCACCCCTGTCCGCCTTGAAAAACCCCTTCGCATCCTTGGCCCGATCGGAGAGAATCAACAACTCTGTAACGGTCTGGACTTCCACCCCATACTGTACCTTGACTGTGTGCTCTCCGAAAATGAAGCTAGTCCACCACCTCGGCTTGTCGCTGAGGTGCCACATCGTCACCTGCGTATCTTTTCCGCCCGTCATGTACATGTCGCGATAGTGGTTAACATGTTCAGCGAGCGTCGTGTTGGCGGAGGACATGACACTGATGGTGGTGTTGAGGTATTGTTTGATGGTATCGATTTTCGGGACGAGATACCGACTTCTCCTGATGGGCCACTCCTTTATTGTCAAGTAAGGCCGATGAAGACTTGGCCAGAGCCCGAACCTCATTCCCTGCAACAAGCGCCTCAATCAGCTTGACGAGACTCCTCCAGTCCTTCTGCAACGACTTCAGAGTCGAACGACAAACATCGAACCGATGGGATATCGAAAGACCTCCTGCACCAGTTTCTGTCAGATCACCAGGCCGTATCTCAAACCCTGTGTAGCCGCTTCCCTTCCACACTGCAACACCATCCTCGATCTCGAGAATCTCCTGCTCGAGAGCCGCAATGATGGAACCAGGCTCTGGAGGGGCAGGGTCATCCACCCAGAAAGGATAAATCAACGGCAGTAGCGCATTTTCATACTGAGTCTGGAGGGTGGAGAGTGGGTCGAATAGCGACAGCCGGGTCGTGTGCTCGGTTGTTAATGTTCTGACCCAGGCGCAATGGCCAGAGAAGATCACTGTGAGCATGACTGGAGCCAGTAAAATGAAGGCGGCGAGAATCGCGGCGGCAGTAACAAGGTTTGGATACTGCAGGACAAAGGCAGTGACGCGCGAGTTTGGTCGAGAGAGGGCGGCTGGAGACATTTCCCTTGGAGGTTTCGCGTCCAAGGTGGATTGAGGGAGAGTTGACGATGTCCCTCTTGAGGGTACCACGTCCGTTTCACGCTCCTGTTGAGCACTCCACAAATCGACCGGTTCGTAATCAGTCCGAACAAGCGGGGGCGTATGAATCTCAGCCCGCGAAGACGTCGCGCTGTCCTGGACAAGATGAACAACGGCACCGGGTGAAGGCGTCCATCCAGGGTGCAAACAAAGCTCGATGTCATGGTATTGGCAGGGAGGTGGCGCGAGCCGTACAGGGAGATTGAGTCCATGGCAGTATGCCAGCTCATTGACCACAGGCTCGTTTACTGGAGGCTCCGGTGAGCATTCAGGCGAGCGTTCGGGTGAGGGAGTACGGCAACGGGGAGTTGGGCCCAGGCCCCGGCGTCGGTCGGTTCTTGGTCTTGAAAGCGGTCGAGATGGTGTACTAAGTGATCGGCTCAAATCCGATCTGGGGGGGCAGTCTGGCCTCTGGCGTGTGGTGGGCGTACGAGCGCCGTCGCTTGTCCATGCCCGGCGGTCACGGTCCGCGAGAGAATCATTGAGGGACCTGCTGTGGGCTCGGTGGGAGGGGCTTCCAGGTAACTGGCGTCTACTGTCACCCAACTGCCAGGTGTGTTGTCTCCTTATCTCGCGGGGCAACGACATTGAAACATGTGGTAATCAGGTCGGTGGCTCAAAAGGGGATGAGAGCTGACGGGGAGCAGTAAAGAAAGTGAGTTCAATATCGTGCAGATGCAAGCAAAGATGCAGTCACTCTTGAATTCATAAAGGCAAAGAATCGGACAATCAATTTGCTCAATCGGATATTAAAAAGGTCAAGTTCTTGCAGCGCGTTTGCTCGGGAGTCAGGGGAAACACAGCGACCTCCGAGGTACGTACCGCTCTTTGTTCTCCCAGCTGTGTCCAGGTTAGCCTCACACATCTCCGGCCATGTCTCGATGAGAACTCAAAGAAAAGAATTCGTGGATAAGGTTCTGGCTTTTCTGCCCGGCCAAAACCGTTGATCGAATGCGGTCTTATTAAAGTTGTCCGCCATCTGAAAAACGTTTGATTAGTTGCATTCCGGATGGATCCGTGGGTTCAAGGTTAGATAAGCAGCCTCGCCTTATCACCCTATCTTGCCTCAGTGGATTCCCTCAGCCACACACACAACATAAGCTATTCATAGCACAGAGCACACCTGGTGCATTGCATAACCATGCCCAGCATAAGCCGCACGTGACACCCCATGTCGCAACAAACCTCTTCCAACCTTCAGGACTAGGCATATTTCCACCATGAGCTGCTTGATTACGGGAAATCTATGGCCGTGAGGTTTCCATCTTTCGATTGTCTCAATCAGAACCACAGAATATCATCACAGCATACAAACATGCCCAACAGTCACTCATGTGCAAACTTGAATCGACCCAGTATTGTTTCTCACCACTCAAGGAAAGGCTCTAGACGTTGCTACTCAGCTGTGACCTAGAATGCATCTTACCTACAAACAAAACGTCCTGATCACTCAAAGGTACTAAATCCCCCCTCCCCTCGCATCATGGCTTACATGAGCATCCACAACTCCCTCTCCTGTCGGTCAAGTCCCAAGACCTTCTCAAGCATTCTTGATCTCTCCATTCCAATCTTCTCCATCCTCCTTCTTACTTCGTCCCTTGCGCCAGGCTGTGAAACCTCGCTGACGCCGTCGCTCCACTTCGCGATCGATCGAGACGCCTTTGCTGCCTCGGCCTCCAAGCGGCTGTTTTTTGGAAGTCCTCTTTCTGGGACTGAGGGCAAGCTATCCTCCGAGTCAGCGCAAGAAAGCTAGAGTGGAATACCAGAAGCCTACTGGGCAGTTGTCACTCCATTACTCACAGAAATATCCCCCAGATGCTTCTCGTCCAGCCGGTCATCCAGGTTCACCTGCGCCATCGATTTATCGAGATCAAACTTTTCGTCCGCCCATCCCGAAGAGCCGAGTCCCTTGGACGGAGTGTGTGAAGACGAACCTACTCACGTGGCCTTCGGCTTGCGGGGCGTGCTGGGAACAGATGGCGGCGACTCATCCTGCTTCTGGCGGAACCAGCCTGCCGCTTCTTCAAGGTTGGCAAAGTCTCTCCCACGAGTCCATCCAGAAGGGGTGTGGAGGATTGCACCCCACTGAATGGCCTTGGGTTGCACATACTTCACCATCTCACGAAACGACGCAAAAATGAGGCGTTTGTATGCTCCTGAGGCATCGTGGCTTGCGAAGTTGAGGTTGCACGCCGTCACCAGTGGCCAGAAGTGCGAGTTGGTCTTGATAAGAGTATCAGCGGCGCCGGGCGAGGTCTTGGTGGCGTGCTCCAGGTTATGCGCATTGTCAAGAATGTCAAGCAGGTGCCCGAGGACAATGCCGCGGGTCTCATCGCAGAAACGAATCAAGGGCTTCGGACTTCTCTTCTCTCTTTCAGTGTAGACTGTGAGTTCGACGCCGCACACCTGGCTTACCGAGTTGGACAGACACATGATGTCTTGGTGAGTTGGAGAGGGGCGTGAAACGTTGTAAAGGGGTGGAAGCGACGGGATGCTACAGGCAATTCGAAAAGCTGTACAAACGATGATGAAGGTGCTGGCCAGCCGGAGAGATGGCGACACGATTGTGATAGGAGAGATGGTAGGAATAGTTTCTGGGGGGGTCCAGGAGTTGTTAAAGAAGGGAGAAGAACGGTCATGAGCACGGATGTGGTAATGGACAATCAATACTATCCAAGAAATGCGGCCCTCCGGTCGCCATCTCCTGCATCCTGCATACTTCACCGTCTTTTCTCTATCCTTTGTTCATCACGGCCACGTCATATCCCAGCCGCCGCTAAAAAGGCCTTCAGGGCTTGCATCCGAAAGAGACATTTGTTGGCAGGAAAAATTGACCTGTCAAACCGCTTACACCGTGGCTTTGTCGCGCTCTTCTGCCAGTGCTCTAGGGCTCCCACACCCAATTGGGTTCAATAGCAAGCGCCTCTAGAAGCCCCTTTTGTTCTAGAAGCTGTCCGGGTACTGTGTTCCCTGCTTCCGGATCATCATCTTCCCTGATTAGCCCCTCCGCCCTGGAAGGATTGGTCGGCATGTTTGCGCTCCTGGATCCGCCTGCGTGGCATGAATCATGCCACGTGCCTATCATATGCAGTGAGTCAAACGTTTTTGATCAGCTGAAAATTCAGGCAGTATAGGACAATGAAGGCACATCACATGAGATTATGCTCCAACATGGTGACATTCGTGTCAAAGAGATTCTTGCACCACTCAATGCAGGCTAATGCGAGTCAATACAGCTGACCTTCACTCCTTTCAGATCAAACAGTGATGATGACCTCACCGCAGGGTACTTTGTGCCCCAGGCAGGATCCCTTTGACGTCAGCCGTCGTTGCCTTGGAACAATCCGCAGCAAAACCAATGCCCCTCGCAACCTCTCCCCCTCAGTCTCTGGAAATTTCCCCCATCAATTTTGGTTGCATCTGCACTAGCCATCCCCTCACGATCATTGATACCAGTTGAGATCTCAACCAAATGGCAGTGATGGTCTGACATCATGGTACTGCCTCGCCAACCGACGGTTGGCTCTTCCTTCCAAATCGGGACCGTAATTTACGGTGGGCGTGATCTTTTGATGGTAATCATCGTCGTTGCAGGGCCGGTTGGATTCGCCTATTGGCATTTGTCTTCATGATTCAGCCCATTCGTGGCACTCTATGGGGAGACTCCCTGATTCTGTTTTCGTCATTCGGGCTACTCCAAAGTGTAGCTTTTACCGCACTTTCAGCCCTCTCTCATCTTGAGACTTTCACCATTACCGTATTTTGGGTTGTCCCACTGAGCAATTATGCTTTGCCCCAGCTTGGGGCTCCTCCCAGATCGGGAGGTTTCCCCATAGGGGGTTCTCCCGGACGGGAGTTTTTGTGCCCATCTTGTGGTATCTTCCCATATTGGTTTCCCTCTAGGTTAGAGAAAAAAAACTCCTATTTTCCTCATTTTGGGGTTCTCCCTATTGCGGGATTCATGCCCATCACGGACATTCACCAACTGGGACATTCCCTTGTCCTGCGTTGTAGTATTCATGCCACCCACAGGTCGTTGTCATTTTACCAGACACGGACCATATCCCTAGCCAGATATTGCGGTTTTGTCGGCGGTCGAGCTTGTCTAGTGCAGCTTGTCTCTCCTTCTAAAATTTCTGCTGGCTGTGATATGCCCTTGTCGTGACAACGCTCCTCGTGAGAGCTAGTTTACTTGCAGGAAGAACTCAGCCCCCAGGGCTGTGATACTCCCTCGTAGGTTCATTCCGCCCGTAGTCGCGTCCATAGTCAAGCATGTTCGTATAGGTCCTAGTTTGGGATCGCCATTAGAAGAGACTGTTAAACGCAACGACGATTTGTCGTTGTGTTGTGCGAGCGAAACCTGGCACGTTTGTGAGGTCATCAAAACAATGGTACGCCTGCTTCCAGACCTAGACTCTTCACTTATTAGATTAGTACTGGGGGTTTCTATGAAAAGTAATGACCCTAGAGTGTAGAAGAAAGGAAGCTTCTTAGCTGAGAGAAAGGAAGCTTCCTGGACCCTAAAAAATGCATGCAAAATCACATTACCATAATATGTCATAATACTGTCTGGAAACGGGCAAGGATGGCTCTCCTCGAAGAATGTCGACTGCCTCACCCTAGAGTTAGAAAAATCACTAAGGAGATCACGGAAATAATTTTCTTCGGAGAATTGTCTGACAAAGCTTTCGGCATTACCGTGTTGTTTCCGGCGACACGCGACAACGTGACGTGACTTGAAGAGGCTGAGAGGCTGAGAGACTCTATTTCAACCTCAACCGCAGCCTCAACCGCAAGGGGCCATTCCGTTATTGCCTTCTCATCGTGTGTTCATTTAAATATGTACGTGTTTTACTATCTTAGAAGTCTATGGCCGTTTCTATAGACCCCCCCAAATCGAACTCACGCCATTTCAAAGTCATATCGTCGTCCTCATCTCGTCAACATTCATTCAAACCCAACAACGAAAAAATAAAAGAAGAATTACAGTCGAATATTCTCCTCCACCCAGTTCAGCTTCATCCACCACCAGAACCTACCACCAAAGCAATAATCCTCCTTCTCTCCACCCATCTTCTCCCTCAGAACCTCCTTCATCACGTCGACCATCTCGAGAAGGGATTCAATCCGTTCGCGTAGATCATTGGCCAGTCCTGGATCTGTCTCGGCGGCCATCACCGCCATACGCCAAGTAGCGAGACCAATGACTGCGCCCGCAGCTTGGTCAATGGACGTGAAGAGCTCCTCGGTGGAGAGTCCACTGCACTTGGAGTGTGCTGCAGCGAGCCTCTCCCCCTCTGGCCGGGCGCGTGGTGCGGGGGCTGATGATGCCGACTCGCTTGGGGCCATGGAGCATATCGACAATGCACGATTGGCTCGCGCAGCTATGGTTGGTGTAGGAGATGGCGTGGCTGGGGTTCTTGGAGCTGGCGTGACTGGCGTTCTCGGAGTTGGCGATGTGATGGCTTCCTCAGAGAGCATTGATCGAGTCGTGCTGTTGGAGCCGCCATTGGATGACGACGTTGACGATCCCTGGTGGCGAGTGTATGACCGAGAACCGAGTGCATCATGGGAACAATGACAATGTTGGTGCTTGTGACGGCCCCAATGAAGGTGGAGGTGGGACGGATTCAACGTGAGGGTGGGAGCATCCGGCATCTCAACATCCGGATCTTGATCCTCCTCACCAGATCCATTGTCATGGTCTTCGGTATCGTCTCCGTCGCCATCATTGTCATCATCGTCATCATCATCAACGTCGCTGAAGTCATCATAACTGGAGTCATCATCGCTGGACTCCCCAGCCTCCTCATCATGCAGGCCTGTACTGCCCAGCTCACTCTCATCGTCCGTGTCGGCCATGTGTCGGACTATATGTCCGTACCCACTACCAATGACAAAGACTGTTTTGGAGGTTGCAATTGCGCCCCGGTTGTTCCCGCCGCGGTTGGTGTTGTTTTCGCCAACGTTGCCCCCGACTTGGGTGATGGATGTGGCTCGGATTGGCCGATAGTCGCCTGGCTTGTACCCTCCACGGCGGGTGGCTGGCTTCTTTGCGTTTCAAGGAGTGCCACTGCGAGGGTCTTTGCGAAGCCTCTTTGGAGATTCCTCGGATCCGTTCTTTGATCCGCCTTCTGACGCAGCTCTCAACCTTGCCGCGCATCAAGCCTTCCACAGTCTTGCCAAGTCCGGCGATGTTGATTGCCACTAGCAGGTCCTGGAAGTTCTTGCGCCATTTGGTCGGGGTCAGGCGGTTTGTGATGATGTGGTCAAGGATCTTGCGTTTGCACGACGGCGCGAAGGTAAAGGACGCTCCAGGGCGGAGTAGGTCGACGAATCGACGGGTGCAGATTTGCTATAACGATGAGCCTATGTCCATCTCAACACCTATGAGTGGTACTGACCTCGGGACTATTGGTAACACACATGGTTGCTAAGTGGCCGAGACAATCAAGAAGGGCCAAAATGCGGCGTAGAGTCCTCAATTTGGTATCAAGCGATGTTCAGGCGATCAGCACTATCAGGGTGAGATAGGCTGGCCTGAGAGGGAATGATGAAGGATGAGGATGAAAAGACCGGAGGAAGAGACGCATCGCGGTTTGACCATTGTGTATAATAAAGAACTTCGTGAGGTAAGCAATTTGTCCATGGTGAACAATAAAGAGCTCCCTGATGAGCTGGCCTGGTCAAATGGGGCTGGAGCTATCGCAGCCACACCGGCCTCTTAGCCAGGTGTTGCATACGCATTTCGGACAAGCCGACAGATGATAGCTGATATACTTATGCAGCTCACTTTGAACATGTTCACATGACCTAGTCACCTTACCAGGCCTTCTCTGGCGGTGAAGTTAGGCAACCGGCTTCCTTTGTTCCCGCCCCTGAGGCCTGAAGCTTCACCATTGCGAAGACTCTTCTACCCCCCGACTTCTCTCCTCTTTCTCTTTAGCCGTCTCTGCCCTTCCATCTGAATATTTTACCTGCATAACCGTCTTAAACCTTCTTCACTTTACCCACAGCGCCCTTCACATCCATCCCTCACCAAACCATTTCGATAGTCGGCAAATAATGCACCGCTTTCTCTTGACCGTCCTGCTACATACTCACACTGACCATGGACCACTATGACCCTCAAACCGCAGACATGATCAACAAGGCACATGACGTCGTCATGTTTAACCAAATCGACACACTCCTCCCCAAGGCCGACAAACTCACCCTCGAGGCCGGAAGCCGTGCCATCATGCGCGTTCTTGACGGCTCTATTGGCCTCTCCGATCGAGAATACGACATTCTGGTGTTTTACCACAATACTCTGCCCACCCAGGAACGCTACGATCTGCTGGTCAAGCAGGCGCACGACGTGCGCATCACCCGTTACAAGGACGCGTGGACCCAGGCCGACAAGAAGCTGATCCGCCTCGCGTGCGAGGCCATTACCCAGGAGGCGAGTGCGGTGGGGGAAGAACTTGACAGATTTGTCAATAAGGAGGAGCAGGAGATCATTGACGCCGACTACAAGCTCAACGTCCCCAATGCGGATGCTTCTCGGATTGCTACGCCGCCGCGCCGGAGTCTGAATCCTCAGCCTTCTTCAGCTGCCCAGGCCAGAGCTGCCCCCTATCGTGACGCCCGGCCTTTGTCTGGATCACAGAGCGTCCCCCACTGTTCCACCCCGAAGCCCACATCGCTATTCAGTTTTTTGCCACAGGCCAGCCAAGGCAGGTCGGCCGTCTCGACTGCTTCTGCCTCGCCATCAGTCGTCGAGAGTATTGCTGCTCTGTCAGACCTCGGCTCACACGCCAATAAGTCGCTCTCCCAACTTCCCCCAGCGGTGTCCTCCAAGATTGAGTCCTTCATGCTCAATCATCCCAAGACGTTCCCAAAGCTTGATTCTCCGGCCGTCATGAGGACCGCTCGCGGTAGCATCCCTCGACTCCAGGAGTTTCCTCGTCTTCCCAGTTTCAACGAGCTTCACTTCGATGACTTGCCAGAGACAGTTGCTGATCTGGATGCCGAGATGCAGGCGAGGATCGTGGACCATTCCACTTTGATGCAGTACTTGGTCAACAATGATGCTTTGCTGTGGAAGCTGAAGATGAAGAAGAACATGTTGGTTAAGAAGCCTGAGGCAGACATCTGAGATATTGAAGTCGGGATTTTACTTTTCTCATAGTCCTTGTTGTCGTTTTTTATTGCCTTGTCACGCTAGATCTCTTGAGTCAGGAACTGGTCAACCTCGATCGCATCTTTGCGTGTTTGGGGGCGACTTTTGGAACGATCTGAGCACAAACATTCTTTCTACGGGGGCCTACCTTCTCTTGACTTGTGAGCTGTGCCTATGGTCTCGCCTTTGCCCGTGATGACTAGACAACTTCCATGCTGGGCCTTGCGTGACGCACGAGTTGCTCGTCGTGGTATCGCCGTGTGTCTCTCACTGGGCAATTGCTATCTGCGTGAGGACATGTTTCACTCCAGGAAATGTTTATACTCACAACAACTGGAAACGTAGTCATAGAGCCCTCCCCAAAGCTGGAGGTAGATACGGGTTGGGGTGATTAATTAACCTAGGTACATATGCCGAGCCCCTTGCCTTTCCGAGTATTTATTCACACCGGAAGTCAAAGAAACTGCTGAACAACCCAATTATGACACATGGTAGCTATGAAGGGGAAGCCACTTTGATAATGGTCATCTCACCTGCAGGACGATGTCTCTCGAAGTTAAGACCTGATGCGGTTTTTCGGACCTCCTCACCACTAACCTGCTGGGCTCAACCTACCATAATCCCATAACCTCCAGGGGAAAGTTACTACTTCATCCCTCATACAATCAACGTGACGAGTTTATTGGTCAAGATAATTCCCGTATCTTCCTGCGAATATTTGTCTCTGTTTGCGCGGCATCTGGTCGGTAGATGGTGAAAGCCCTTAATATCCATACCCAATTCTGTTTGACCAGTTATATTGCTAGGGCATGAAGTCCGACCTTTCCGACGAGAAAATGACGAAGGATCTCTGCCGATTTATTCATCTCGATCGCTGTCCTGCGGCATGGAACTTTGGAACGCTCACGCAGCGTCAGCGATTATAATCAACATTTCCTTGCAACGTCGGCTGCATTCCCTGAGCCGCTGATTCTCCGGGCTTGTTAGTTGCTTAATTAACTATAAACATAGATGTTGGGATGCAGTTTCTACAACATGGACCGCTGATAAAGCTATCTAAGCCTGATAGAGTTTTGCTACTATACCTACTAGATCCCAGTTGACTTTGTAGTTGTGCTGAGCCTACCATACCTTATGGTATCGTTAAGATTTTCATTGTCCCCCGGATCCGGACCGCCCCTGTCACCCGAGCACTGGTAAGGCAGCTCCGGCAACACTGCTGTTCTTCGACACTGGAAAGTATTTGGCGGGGAGGACGGAATTTCGCTGACCTTTGCGATTGGACTCTGAGGTGGGCTGAAACCTATATCTCACGGCATCTTATATTCTATGGGAATTTTGCACTGGGGATAGTGGAATTCAAAGCCTGGGGCGCCACTTATACCCCTTAGTCCCCCTTCAATGGAATGTTTTTGTGAGAGAGTTGTTATATCGGGTATGCAAAACATAAGATGGGAAGAAACCATAGTGATGAAAAGGTCATAATAAAGCATAAGGAAAAGTATAATGATGAAAAGTGGATGATGAGAATGGCTGATGAAAATAGATGATGAAAATAGATAATGAGAATAGATGATGAAAAATGTGATGATGAGAAAAGCCATGATGAAGGTTGCCGATCCTCGGGCTCAGTTAACCCATCGAGGGCCGGGCTGTAACTATAATGAAAAATAGATTAACGATGAAGAATGCCATGATGAAAAGTGGCTGATGGAAATGGATGATGAAAATCAATGATTAAAGATGCTACGATGACAGCTCCTGACGAAAAGATCGATGATGAAAATACATGATGAAAAATGTAATGATGAAAACCTGATGAAAATCGATGATGAAAATCAATAATTATAATTAATAATTAGGAACATTTCTACTTATAAGCCTGATAGGTATTATATCTTGAATATAAAAGTTCGTGGTGAAAATCGATCATAAAAAAATCAATGAATGAAGATGGATGCTGGGGTTCTCTTCGTGGTCGGGAAAACGCGATTGATAGAGATCTGATATTACTCCCAAGCTACCGTGTAATATCTAAAGAACTAACGCCCGCGTCTCACCAGCGTGAAAGAGGCCAAGGTTGAACGAAGGGACATCGGCGCGGTTCTCATGATTCAAGGGATCTCAGTTGTCGTCTAGACGTACAAAGAGCGAGCAGTCAAGGTGGACAGGGACAAAGAGGCAGAATGTAGACGGAACAAGATGCTACGAATACCATACATGGGCAAAGATAAAATAATAAAAAGTCACGAGAGGCCAGATACGGAGAGGGTATGTTGGTTAAACGGAAGACGCAACAAACGGCAAGAAATGAGGCTATCGAGGAATGACTAGACGCTCTAAGCTCTCGGATACTTCATAGTGTTCTAGGACCGGCATCAAGCTTTGGGCCTGGGAAACTGACCCCAAAGACTGAGCCAGAGCACGTTACGGTCCAGGTTTACCTTTAAAGAAGCAGTGTTTCCAATGGCAATCGATGCAAATATCAGAGGCAAGGGGCAGCGATCAAGAAGTGCTTCCGGAAAAGCATATGTCAATGACCTGTATCAGAACAAGGGCTTCCTCAGCTAAAACGGTCTTTTCATCATATCGTGCGAGCGGCTTGAAGATAATGAGAGGGAGTCGAGACGATCCAAGGGTTCAAAACCAGCGCAATGCCTTCGCGTCAAAGTATTATCGAATACTGGGGGACTTCACGTCCAACTGACAGGCCAGCGTCAGCACGCATGGATATGCTTGGGAAGCACAGGCAAAAGGCGATCGAGACTTTCATACGAGCCAAACTGGGGCCACTCCATGCCACGCAGACATGCCAAAACACGACAAATACTGGCTGCAAATAAAGGCTCTGAGAGCCAAGGCACATATTCTAGGCTTGATAGGTACTGGGCGAGGATACAAGTGACATCGACGCGACACCCCTGAGTTAAGCCGACTTGGGCAGTCCGTCCGACCATGTGCTGCTAACAGTTGTAATTCAAGGTGGCCAGACTTTACTAGTCGTATAATTGCGTGCCATGAAAGCCAGAAATTCCTGCGGGATAATACCAATCTCCGGCTTATCCTTATCTGGCCTCTGGTGAGAAGAAATGTTTGATCCCTACTGTCAAAATTCCGGCATTTCCGCTATGAAAATACTGATACTACACACTTGGGCGCAATCAACGCTCAACATGCTGCTGTCACGAGTGTCCGATTACTCACGTGCTTGACAAATCCTCTCGACGGCTTCATCTGTTTCTGAAGCCTATTCCTACAAACCGCCAGAGTATTAAAAAGTCGGATACCGGTCGATACCGGGAAGAGGAGGATGGAAAACTCATCACAAGAATGTTTGGGCTAGCCAATGACAATAGAACAAACATGCGAGCAACGATGATAGACGGAGCAGGCCGAAGTATGATGAGGGCGTGAAGGGACGGTTGGGGATTACGAACCATTGTTAGGCACTGAGATAGCAGTCGAGAGTTGCAGATTAGATGAGTCAACCAATTACTATTTATTTACATTCAGATAAATACGTACTTGTTATTCTAGTCCCTGTTTCCAAAAACACTTCTTCATCTTACTCTTATCCTTATCGCCCATCTCGTCTCCCATAGTAGGCTCACAAGGAATGCCCAGATAGGAATCACGTACATATATCCCAAAGGATACCCCCCGTGACTCAATTGGCTATCTACATGGACATCCTCACCTGAACTTCCCTTCCTCATTCCTGCTCCGCCCGTCATTGGTTTACTGCATGCTTCCATCATTCAAGTTCTCGCCGCAAATGGCCTTAAGAGCTTCCAGGCGTGAGTATTTGTCTTTTCCCTAAGCCATTACCATGACATGTGGAAGGACTTGCAGCATATAGACCTCGATCGTGGGAGGTTAGATGAATAGCTTCAAGACATCCCAGTGGTGTAGTCCGTCGGCAACAGAGGCACGCTGATCCACCAGTCCAACCATCCGCTTCGACCACGCCAGTACAATCACGCTGTATGCCCTCTCGTGCAAGGGAGCTCCAGGACGGACCCACTCGTTAGGCTTGTCGAAAGGAGCTTGGGTATGGTCCAGGTCGAGTAACTCAAAGAGGGTCTCGAATTCGTTCGCCGGGTGGGAGTCATGGATGCGGAAGTGGAGGTGGCAGATGTTGTTGAACATCTCGTTGCTGGTCATGTTGGTGGTGGTGGCCTCTGCCATGGGCAAGATGGCTGACTGGGCAACGAGCATGTACTTGCCGAGAAGCGAAGCAACGGTCACATTCCCGAGAAACGAAGAAACGACCATGCTCCGGAGAAGCGGAGCAATGACCATGTTGCCGGCAAGTGTGGCGAAAGAGGCCACGATGAGTAGCGTGATGACCAAGACAAGAAGCAAAAGGCAGGGTCGTAACACATGGCGGAACATGCCGCCATGAATGGCCAAGGTCTGGATGAGATTTTCAAGCAGCATGACGAAAGGGATGCGAGGGCAATGGTCCGGTAGAAAAGGTACGATTGAAGGTTTTCGGATAGTGACTGGATGTCTTGGAGGGAAGAAGATGGTGTGGTGGTAGATGATGGCGAGATGGCTCTGAAAAGGATGTGATAGTGATACTGACGAGGGCTGAGGGGCGATGAAGAGCACGATTCTAGGGGAACTGGGCGGTCTTTATAAGTTGATCTAACTGCATAGCCCTACTTTGTCATCTACTTCATCCTGAAGATACATCCTCACCGCCAGAGAACTGGCTGTCCTCTCTTCTTTGTTATTGTGGATGAGGTGGCCGTCCTGGTGACCGACATGAATGACTGGACCCCTGGCTAGAGCAAACGCCACAACTACAACCCATGGATCAGAATATGGAAAGGCTTCCGATAGTGCGCAAACATAATCTATTGACATCATCAGCTGACTAGACTGAAATGCGACTCATCAGTTCTCTTTCTGGCTGAACAACAGGAAACGGAAATTGACCCGTTCAAATGTCCCAGCGGTATTGCATCCGGGTCTTTATTCTCCCTCTTGCATCGGCATATCCGGCTGGACCGACCACTCCATGAGCCATAAGGCTGCAATGAGTTGAACTCCATATCGCCAAAACAAAGCAAAACTCCGGGACATTCCCCAGCCCATCATGGTCCAATGAGAAACGTGCCCAGGAGCTGGAAAGACACTGTAAGCAGTCGCCCGTCTCTGCTGGCTGTGACTTGTGCAGGGGTTGATGTGATCAACTTCTAGGTATTCTACTGGCTCTTTGATACACACTTTCATATTTTGCCACCCCGGTCCATCATCCATGCCCCCAACTGTGCTTGAAACCTTCCTCTCCTCTCAACCTCCGTGCGTTCACTCGCGAGCCGCGTGCTCACGTTCCATCGCCTTGTTCCGGAGCCTCCAAAACCGACGCAAATTCTCCTCTGTGAGTATAGTCGGCACTTCCTGCTCCCTGTCCCCGTCGCCTTCATGTCCCTCCGTCTGGCCCTTGAGGCGTTGAGCTCTGACAGACTCTTGACGTCGCACTCCCATGGTTTTATGGCGCTGCCTCAATTGCTGCGGGTCCCATTGTTCGCCATCATGAGCTTCCAGATTCAGGCGCTGTTGATTTTCTGTCCATTCCCCTTCAAGGGAGCCAGAACCACGGCTTCCGGTATGCTTCTGGAGGTCGTCGAAGCTCACAAAGTGATCATGGTTCTCCCTCCAAGAACTCTCATGCAAACCATCCTCGCGTTGCGGCTTACAACTGACCATCGGGTGAGCTGTAGCGGAACTCATCGACGAACTGACTCTTCTGGCATAGTCTGTACTGTATTCGCCTTCCGCATGAAGGTAGTAGTCATCGCGCTCGGCAACGGCACCTAATGCAAGCCGACCCTTGCCCTCGTCTTCTGCGACAAGTTGCGCCTCGGGGCGAGTCTCATCCATACTCTTGGGCGCCTCGGCGGGAAAGTCTTGCTTGCGCTTGGTGGAGGAGGGAGGGCCAATCGAGGAGACGGATCGTATGGCCAGCCCCTTGGGCTCTGCGAATATGACACGGCGATGATCCTCGGGCTCATCAGGTGTCTCCGCCTTTGAGCTGCTGCCGGTAAGATTTGTTTGTGTTTGAGGTGCTGCTGAGTCGGAAGGTGTCTGATGAATCGACTTAGCCTCGAAGTAAAGGAATAAAAATGCAAACTCACCTCGTATTGACACTCTTGCTCTTGAGGACAATCAACATCCTGGTCTTTGGAACAGAATCCGGGCGTAGGATCTTCATCGACAATGTCGTCAACTGGAGCCTCAGTGTTCTCATCCCTCTTCTTCTCGGTGGGAGCGCCACCCAACAAAGCAGCCTTCTCGAGCTTCTTCGCATGATTTCTGAATTGACCCAGGACGCCGTTGAAAGAATTCGCACTTGTCGCATATTTCTCCGGCCAGTCAGGCTCATCTTCCGTGGCGTAGGTGTTTTGCCAGTCAGGCTCGATCAGGGAGGCTAGACGAAGATCTTCGGCCGTAATTTTCTCGGCGTTGGCAAGAGGGCCGTTGCGCTGATGTTCGGCATAGAAACGCTGCAGCTGGCGGGCAGTGAGACGCGTTTTGACATAACTCTCGGCACCCATGACGATTATCGAGCAGTGGAGCGGCAAGTGATGATAGGTCAGAGTTAACTGTAAAGCAACTGAGTTAACAAGGCCAGTGTTATATAACCATCGGGGAGATCAAATGTCTTTGCTTTCCAGGATTCAAAGAAACGTGTGCGTTAGTCGCTGTGTAGGCTCACCACAGTCACACAAGATGTAGACAGAGGCAAACTAGCAAGGGGGAGAGGAAGAGTGTTGGCAAAGAAAGAAAACAGAGCAGGTCGGTACTTCAAGTGGCTTCGTTTCTGGCATGATTTGGTCACAATAATGACAAGCCGTGTGAAGAAACGGCACGCAGTCTTCCCCCCCCGCCCCCAAAGAAGAGGCCATGAGAACGGAAGTCAGGTCGCTCTACCGTCGACGTGGCGTTTTCAGGGGGCCAGCAGGCAGAATAAAAGAACCGCAACCTTGGCAATTTTAAAAACCTCCTTCACTATCTCTCCCTTCTTTCGTCGAACGAAGCACAAGTCATGTTTTGGTGGCCTTTATTCATCATTAGCACCAGCGCCTTCCTAAATAACATAGTGGACTGGCAGTCAGTCAACGTCTAGTACTTAGATCTAATATTCTATTCTAATTTTTTTTTTAATAATATCGCTATTAGCCATAGGAGCAAAGAATATAATTAAAGATATATAGTAATATTAAAACCTAATACTATATAATACTATAAACCCAAGGTAAGGTTCTATAGCTATAAAAACCTAATAATTAAAAAATAAGCCTTATAATATAAGATATTATCTTTCCTTTTCTTATAAGAGGTTATATTACTTAGCTTTTTTTTCTAACTTATTATTAATATTTCTATTTTCTTTATTATGTATTTTTCTTAAAATATTTATAATATAAAGACTCTTAATCTCTATAATTAACCTAAAACTTAATTAATAATATAATAATATAAGCGCCTAAGTTATAATATTAAGTTATAAAGATAAATAATAATTCTAAAGAGAACTTAGATTTATTAAGCTCTTTATTATTACGGCCTAGCATATCCCCTATTATATATTATTTTTATTCCCTATATTTTCCCTTTTTAACGCACTAATTATAATAGACCTTACTTCTATAAGTACGAGGCCCTTACTTAGACCTTACTTCTATAAGTATAAGGCCCCTTATATATATATAATACTTATTATACCTTAGATAAATACTTAGCCTTTAAGCTATTAATAGACTTTAATTACCTTTAATATATATAATAAGTATGCGATGTATCTAAGTATGCGACGCACTTTTCCCTCCTATACCTAACCTTTTACTTAATTAATTAATTCTATAATTACTAATTATATTAGACCTAAATATAGAGGCTAGAACCCTTCTTGCCCTTTAGGCTATTTAAAATGACCTAAAGCTAAGTATTTAATGCGCTATAAAGATCTATAAGGTCTCCGAGCTAAGGCTATATCGTCATAGATAAGGCATTTAATCGCGATATAATTAGATCCTAAAGTTACGCTAATTATTTAATCTAGAGAAATAAATCTTAATTTATTTTATTCTTAACCTAGATTTACGAGGATTTCCCCCGCGATTATATTTTATTAAAAAAATAATTAATTAATTACTTATTAACCGCGATATATTACCTATTAATAAGCGCTAAGCTTATAACTTTATTATATAATACTAAAAGCTTAAGATATATTTTTTTTATAAATATAATTACTAGAGAGCTAAGTATAAAGATCTAATTATTATTTATAATTAATTTAGGCTTATAATAAATATAATCGCGAAATATAATATCTAATTAAATAATATTTAGAATTTTAATAAAACTAACTTTATAATAGGTATAATTTAAAGCAAAATAATTATTATAGGTATAGATAGGTATAAAATATTAAAATTAATATAGCCTAGAAACTAAGAATAGATTATAGTTATTTAGGTAATTAATATAAAAGGCTAGGTAATTTAGTTATTTATTATTAATATAAGCTAATATTACTTCGCTAATTAGTACTAAGAAAGTAACCTCTTAGGCGATTAAGTTATTATAATAAGCTAAAATAATTAAATTAATAATAATATTAGTCTTAAATAGCTAAAATACTTTAATTAATATATAAGTAATTAATTAATTAATTTCTATTATTTTTTAATCCTTAATAGCTATAAAAATTATTATTTTATTAACTTTAAGAGATACTATAAAAAAAAGAAGATTATTATATTTTATATATTACTTTATTTATCTTATTTACTTTAGCCTTTTAATATTAAGTACTTTAACCTACTTAAGTAGGCTTATAATTAAGAAATAGAGTCTTTAATTAGATACTTTATAACTTATATTTCTAAGACTAAGTTCTTTTTAGCCTTCTATATTAAATATTAGGCTATTATAATAAAAAGAAATATTAGGTTAGCCTTTAGAGGAGCTAGGCTTATCCCTCTTAACCTAGAAAGTATAATTTTAAAGCTTAATATATAACTATAGACTTTAATACCTACCGAGGAAGTAATTAGCCCTATGACCCCTTAGGTCTTAAAGACCCTAAAGATTATACTTAAGGCTAGATCTTAGTTTAAATACCTTAAAAGATAAATTAAGAGGTATTATACTAGCTCTTTAGAGTTAATTATTATAGCTATAAAGTCTCTTAAAAAAGGGATAAAGGTAATTATATATAAGGTTACTTTATTAATTATTAAAAACTAAGACTTTTAATAGGTAAATAAGATATTAAGTTAGCGCTAAAGGGTTAAAAGGATTAGATTATAGAAAGGAGGGGTAATAATAGTAGATTAAGTAAGGTAAGTAATTAATTAGATAGATATTAATATATAAGTAATTATAGAATTATTAAGAGGTAATAATTAGGGAAGGTTAATTAGACTAGGTATTTAGCGATATAATATATATAGTAAGCCTAGGTATAATATAAGAATATATTAGGTAATAATTAAGATATCTAGGGAAGAATATAGTAAGTAATATTAATTAATTAATTAATTTATTATATTTTTATTATAATTTAAATCCTTTAGGGTAATAAAAAGTGCGTCGTATATTTAGATATATCGTATACTTATTATATATATTAAGACTTTCTTAACTTATTATTAAGATATAATTTCCCTATTATATAATAATACTAAGACTCTTTATTAATAATAAACCTAATATACTTAGTTTATTCCTTTAGAAAACTCTAGATGTTATATATTAATAGCTTCTTATTTAATATATTTCCGTATTATATTATATAAT